TGATTCGATCAGTCGCATATTGTTTGCGACATTTTCTATGAACTTCTAGGGAAATCTTTCTCTTGAAAATTTCAGCTTTACCATCCTTTCTTCTTCTACTGGCCAAAACAAATGATGCCAACTGCTTTTCCTTCAAAACACTCGTTGCAGAACCGTCCTTCAAAGTCTTATCACACTCGCAATCGGACATTTTTCACTGATTTTATAAACCTAGCAGTCTCTTAGTTTTTTTTTGATTTTCTCAAAAACTAAAGGAGCACCTAATTTTTAATTAGAGGCCCTAATTAGCACCTAAAAAGCACCTAATTATTATATAGTTCCCGAAGTGGAAACATGTTTTTATAAGAGAAAAGACTGTTTATTTTGGTCATATTAATGCGAAGCTTAACAATTAGACATCGTTTTCGTAATAAAATCAGCTGGAAATCGTATGATTGTGGGAGATCATCAAGAAAATCAGGTAATCAATTGGGAATGATATAGGAATCCCTAGAAAAAAATAGAAATCACTTGGTTATCATACAGAAATATCTGAAAACCATTGGCAATCAGTCCCAATACATGAGATTCATTGATCAGTGATTGCCAAATATGGAAATTATTGTACATTTGTAAGCATAGTAGTTGATCCCTCGGCGTCGGCTGTAATAAAAAAATCTTTACAATTTGTGTGCGAAAATTTTGATGATCAAAAAAAGACAATTGAAACAATTTTACTTGAAATGCGCAAATTGAAGGAATAGAACGACTCACTACAGCTTAAACAACGAATGGAACAATAAATAGGCATCAACGAACAAAGAGAGAAGGAATGTACCTACCTTACTTGATTGTAGCTGGAATACCCAAACAAGAGGTTGAACGGTCGAAGGGTTGAACCAAAAACTCTCGTCAGGATATTGTTAGCCGCAATGAAAGTGGAAGTAAGAGAAAATGATACACAGGATATCTATAGAATTACAAAACGAGAAGACGCACCCATACTAGTTAAATTTAACAATAAGGACTTAAGACTAAAACTACAGATAATTATCAAAGAAATCAAAGGTATCAAGGTAAATGAGTGTGACCTGTTGGGAGGCAGTACCAATATAAACTTGCATGCATAGAAATCGGTCCATCGCTAACTTTTGACTTTTTATTTTAGAAACTATTCCTCAACCGATAATCAAATAATGTGGTTGAACAAGAACGACAGGCTTGTTTATTATTGTCTTTGAAATTGCAACTTGTCCTGCCCTGTAGGTATTAGTGTTTCATATTGATTTGTTTTCAAGTGTTTGATTTTTAAAGTTATCAGGATTAATTATAGATTATGAGCTGGCGGCCACGGCTGGAATTTTGTGAAGTGGTTGGGGGACCATCAGGAAGTCTCATCTGCAACGATTTTGCTCGAAACCCCTGCAAAAATGAAAACAAATGGACCCCGCACACCTCTAAAGGTATTTACTTTTCTGTCAAACTTGATACCCGATGCAGTGATGGGGACAGGTGACGGGCGATGACCTCATACCGAGATCTGGCAGTGCGATCAGCCTGAGCTGTAGGCTGCCGAGTGATGACCTTGAACGGTACAAAAATTGCCAGAATCGACCTTAGCGTTTTCTTATGGAGATTTACATGGGGTTTGCTGTTGAACCCGTGCTGCACCTTTACTGATATACAGGGTGTCACGGAAGGTTTGTTACAAACTTCTAGGGATGGTAGATCTCGTAAAAATAAAGTTTTTTTCTCAATAAACATGTATCCGGAAATGCTTCGCTTGCCAGATACAGGGTGTTAAACTTTGTAAAAAAAAAGTCAATTTTTTATTAATTCTTAGAAATGCGTTGGACCAATTAAATGAAATTTTCATAGTTTGTTGACACCTTCATGAGGTATCTTTTGGATTGCTCAGAGTTGACCCAGTAATTCAAGGGACGTGCCACAGGTTCTGTCGGATGTTTTTTTGCACGAAAAATTTGGATATGTTTTTTGATAGAAAACTTAAAGATACAACTTTTTTGTCTCTTCATTTTTTTCCGTATGCTGCTTTGCTCTCGAGATAAAATATAAAAACCATTTCAGGCGAACCACAAACGTCACTGACCTGCATAAAAAAATAAAAAAATAAATTGCCACAGAATTACCTGAAATTTTACCAAGCTATTTTTTGCTCAAAAATAAACAAAAAAAAAAACAAAAAACTTTTTTTCTAAAACACACGCACTTTTGAGAATTAATGTAAATAGTAGGTATATTGTTTTATTAGGAGTAAAAGTGATACTTTTTGTGGCGAGACTAAATGTTTGACGAGCCACAAAAAGTGCTTTTCTCCGAGTAAAACATGCGATTTTTTCCGCAAACGGTGCTCAAAGCGATGGAATCTAGGAAATTTCTGTGATGTCACTTTTTTGTCCGGCCGTGAGCGTACAAAAAAGTACTTTTTTGTACGCTGTTTTGTATAACTCCTTAAAAACATATATATTTTTTTTTTGCATAATATTTTCATTTTTCCAAGATAATTAGCTGAGATTTCCTCGGAAGTTTCATACACAGCGTATATCTTTTGTTTTTTTTCAGAAACAACCATAAGCTTCACAATCAATAAATAAGGGATGTTTTGTCTTTTTTGGAAAATACTGCCAAAACTACTTGAGATACGAAAAAATTGCAAGATACCAAAAACCTTTGCAATGAAACGGAGAAGCTAGTGGTTCAATAAAAATTAATTGAAAATGTGCTGATAAAAAAATTAGCGTGGTTTTTGGGTGGTGTCACCCCCAAAAAAGACTAACCCCTTGATTTATCGTGACGATTGTGACAGAACATTTTATGTAAGCTCTGTACAAAATTTTAGCTATTTATCTAGGAAATTGAGAAATATAATACAAAAAACGTCTTTTTCTTAAATGTCTAGCTCCAATACCTCGGAAGCGAAACGTTTCCGGACCCATATTCATAGGAACTTTTTTTCTTATTTTGATGAGTTATATCCGCCCTTGAAGTTTGTAACACTATTTCTGAAACACCCTGTATACTAAACCTAATGGATAATACAAGCACAAATTATATTATACTGTATATAAATATCAAAAGCCTTCGCTATAAGCTGGATGAACTAAACAATATTGTACAAGGAAAGGGCGATGACATCCACATAATAATTGTATTGACGGAAACTTGGATCTACACCAATGAACAAAAGTATTATAACTTGCCTGGATATTCTTCAATCTACCATTGTAGAGATACTCGTGGTGGAAGAGTGTGGCTTTTTGTTAAGGATGGTTTGGATTATACTTGTATAGACTTTGGCAATGATAATTGGGACGATGTAGATATTGTAAAAGTGTATATAAAAACGTTAAAATGTACAGTATGTGTAATCTATAGATGACCTTCAAGTGATGGTGCTAAATTTTTTGAAAATTTTCGATAAACTAATGGAACAACACCGTGAAGATGTTATATTTTTTTGGTGATATAAATTTTGATCTCCTAAGTGATATAGCAACTAAAACATTATTGACATGAATGGCCTTAACATTCAACATAAAATAAATATTCATGAAAAGAGTGGGGAATACAAGGTTCAGCATCCTTGATCATGTTGTGACTAGTGACAAGTTGGTATGTAATCTACACATGAAGCACCACATAATCTGTGATCATAAAGTAAATTTCTTAAATGTTAAAAATGAGAAAATCCAATGAAAGAAGAAGAAAGTAACACGAACTAAAACAAACAGTGATCCATGGAGGCAAAATATACAAACTATGTTAGCAAGAGAGACGACTACAACATTTAAAAATTTAGCAAGACTGATAAATGATACTAGAAAAAAAAAACACAACAGAGTACACAATAAAAATAATAAAACCAAAACTACTGGTTTACACAGGAATACAAAAAAAAATAAAGCAAAGAGATAAGTAGGTATCACGTAAGATGGAAACAGAACCAAAATCATTTCACCCAAAGAAATGTTAAAATGGCAAAGACTGGAGTGAAAAATTTGGGAAATATAAAATGGCAAAGACTAGAGTGAAAAATTTGGGAAACAATTTAAAAAAATGAATATGCAGAAAGAAAAATCCAAAATGCAGGAAATGACATGGAGAAAACTTGGAATGTAGGTATTAAGTAAATGAGTTATGCTGTAAAGAAAAAAAAAACAGAAACAAATTAGACAAGTGAAAGTATCAGACACACATATTGTGGAAGATATAGAGGAAATTGATTGATTAACCAACAATCATTTTGCTAATGTAGGAGCAGAATTGGCAAACAAAATACCCACAGTGAATCATCACTTCAAAAATGAAAAAGAACAGAGCACTATATATCTAGTACCTACTTACTGATCTGGTTGAAGTCCAAAAAATTGTAATGGAAATAAAAAATAACTCCTCACCTGGAATAGACAATATTACTAAGCTTGATATATTGCAAGTTTTTGACCTTATTGGAGAAACTATAGTAAAACTAGTAAATAACTGTCTACAATGTGGTAAGTTTCTGGATGAACTTAAAACTGGAAAAATAACACCTGTATATAAAAATGGACCTCATAATGACCTCAACAACTATCGACCTATTTCAGTACTTCATACATTTTCAAAAATTTTGGAAAAAATAATAAAAATTAGGATTGTTAGATTTATTGAAACCAAGTTTAATTTTGATCAATATCAATATGGGTTCCAGAAAAAAACTATTTTAATAAAAGCAATCTTTGCTAAAGCTAGACCATCCAGGTAAATATTGAATCAACTTGTGGACATTCTAGATTTGACAACAAAAAGTTATCACTACTCCTGACCCAGATATAATAGTTTTATGCTACTCTACCCCGAAAGCTTTAAAGTATTAAAACAGTATTTATGTAAAACCGTATCGCATTATTATGCTAATGAGAGTTTATAAACTCCTATGCAGCAGGCTGAAAACTTTTCTAAAAATAAATCCCCATAATGCACTTTGAATCCAAACGAAAAAGGCCAAGTCATACACTTACCGATATTTTTCGTCTTTTTCAACATTGTAACGTTCTCCAGAAGACGTTGCTGATCCCGTATGTCTCGGAGACGACTCTTCTTCGGAAGGCAACGCGTCCGAGGCAGTATCATCCGATGCGAAACTTTCTTTGCTGGACTTGCGTTGCGAAAAATGTAAGGAAATCGTTTTACGGAATTTTTGTAAGACACTTTCGTTGGATGGAACTGGAAAAAAGAAAAAATGTAATCAGACTCTTTTTTGTAATCAAATCTGTTTACATAGACGAATTTTCCGCGCTTTCAACTTTTTCCGCCGAGATAAACAATTTTAATTAATGGGAATTTATATTTCAGATCGTCAATAGTAATACCAAGCAAAAACTTCATTATGAAAGTTGTCTTAATTGAGTTCGAGTTTCGCTTGGCGTAGAAAAATATAAATTAAACAAGAGATGATATGTCTCGCAATCAAAAAAAAAGAATTATTCTTTTGCTGTCACGTGCAAAAAACTCGAGAGACTCTTACAAATAACCGATCCTGCTATGGGAAATTTCTTTTTAATTATCTCTTGATGGATAATGATAGCCAGGCCATTATTTTTCCCCAAATTTTTTCGACTGGGAATCAAAACGAATACCGATAAATAATAAGTTATGGACGATAGAGAAATCACTCTTGCGAATAAAAGGGTTCAATCAGGAAATTAGAGGGTGCCCTGAAGTTTTTTTTGGGGGAAAAAAATAGGTCATGTACTGGGTGTGATGGAGACTAAGAGGATCACGCAGGAGAGAGTGAGAATAAAATACAAGAAACTGAGGAGAAAGAATGAGAAATTGAAGAAGAGGAACCATAGATAATGATGACAGCTAAATTATTGGGGATGTGGAAGAAGAACAAGGGACACGTTCTATATTTAAAAAAAAAAAAACAGAATCCACTGAAACGATGCAGAAAAGTTTAAAATCATCTGTAGATCAAGGAAAAAAAAGATGAACAAACTAAATTAGCAATGGAACAGTAGAGGAAGGAATACGAGAATCTGATGATTCAAATAAAGAAGAAGAATAGTGAAAATAGAACAGAATCCAGTGGAAAATTAAAATCTGGACTTCGAAACTTAATGTTCTTCTAAAACATTAAAGAACCAGTAGTACCTATGTGAGATTTTTTCTGTGTTGAAACTTTAAGTTGGTTTCTAAGGCCACTTCATTTTTAAATGAAGCCATTGAAGAACCAGTAGGTAGCTAATAGAAGGTGTAGGTTATAGTCAAGATAATCAATAAACCTTTCTCATTTTACCTGTGCTGCGTGCGTCGCTTGTGGGTGACAGACAGACACAGAACACATATCCTCACGGATAGAAAAAAAAGCTTAATGGAGGGCGGGGCCTAAAAAAAAAGCTTCAGATCGCATCCGCTTGGGGACGCTGGAGTGAAACACAACTCTTAACACAACTACAGGTGCGGAATGAACGCCACCATAAAATTATGTCACAGTCAGTTTATCTGTTACCTATGATGTGTCAATTTTTTTTAAATTATATTTTGTGTATAAATTCACCGATAAATAACAATTATGTTGTCTTCAAGTCCTTGGACACATCCCAAAAAGTGTTGTGTTCAGGGCCGGCCCTACCATAAGGCGAACGGAGCGAGCGCTCCAGGCGCTAGACCTCGGAGGGCGCCTCCGAATCGTTGATAATAAAAAAAGGAGAAAAATATATTTCTGCTTTGAATCCTGTCTTTTCGATATCCTGCTATTCTGCTTGCGAGCAAGCGTGTAGTTAGTATGTGAATCCCATAGAACGTTTAGGCCCGGTTTCTTCAGTTCCAGATAAATTTTCTGGTGACTGTCTGCAAGACAAATTGACGAATCTATAATCCTGTTGGTCGACGGATAACTGACCGACCAAAGGGATTGCGGATTGCCTTTTTATCCGTCAGATGCATTGTTTGACAGTTCATCAAAAGGTGAATAAACCGGTCCTAAAGGAGAAATAATGTGTTTGGAAAAGTTCTAAGATAGTGATAGAGGTCACCCAAAGGCAGTCCTTCAGACCTTAGCATTAAATAATTGGCAAGATAAGTTCCCTAATATCCGCACAGCACTCCTTTTTGGTGCGAGGGGTGAACACATTTGGCAAAAAGTGTACACCTACATCCATTTTCCGAGTAAATCACCTAAGTATTCCCCCGGTTCTTAGAAATCCTTAGAAAATCCTACTACATCCCAATAAATCCTAGTACATCATAGTAATTCCTTGGTAAATCCTTGCATATCCTAGTAATTCCTTGATAAATTGCCTACATCCCAGTAAATCCTTTATCGTTATTATGATTATTATTACCTAATAATAATATTCCTGTACATAAATAAGGCATATTCGTTAGAAACATTATAGTTATTAAGATACCAAGGGCAATATGAGCCAAATAAGTCCCCGAGGTCCGATAGAGTACAAGCCAAGGGCATTTGACCCTTTAGTTCATATTGCCCGTGGTGACTTCAACGTTTTATGTTTCACTAGTATTTTTATTTCGTACCTATCTAAATTTAAATTATTTGAATTTTACCTGCCATTTTTTAGTTAAAATTTTGCTATTTTTGTCATATATCTTCCAAAATAAAGGTTAAATTCCTGGAAGCGATTTAACCGGTGTGAAACCGGTATAAATACAACTGGCTTTTTAATTGTTTATAATGCCCTAGGGCGTTATGAGAAAATAACATCCCCAGGTTAATTATATCTATAAGAAACCTGAAATTAGGTTGATTATTGTCAAATAAACTGTAACGACATAAATTCTTTATTGGTGTGAGGTCTTGTTATTTTATTCACATTTTTACACAATATATATCATACAAAAACCGTAACAAATGCTAAAAAAAAACAACATAACACAAAAGTGAATCCTTACATACCTAAATGGAAATAGATGAAAGTTCAAATCTTATTTGGATTAGGAAAAAATTAACCTAAGTAAATTAGGAAGGAATCATAAGCTGCTTTTTTTAGTATATGCAAGAGATATAGTTTCACATTCATCTTTGGTTTACTGAAAATCTTGATTATCATCTGAATTAGGCGTAAAGCATCTAAGCCTTAAAAATTAAATTCTTTGTCGACATCTGCACTGTCTGCCTTTTTCTGCCAAAAGAAGGTAGGTACTTTCACTTTTCTTTTGCCTTAGAAATTTTATTCTGAAAGTTTCGCCTATTATTTTTTCAATACTCCCTACATACCAGCTCGTATCGTAGTATACTGCATAAAATTTGTTAACTTCTAATTGAAGTTCCTGCTCGAGTTCATGTTCCTTGGCAATATCATTATCCTCGTCATTATCCGAATCATTCTCTGATCCTTTTCTGCTACTAATGCTGCAAAAACTGTCGGTGTCAGTGCTGTCATCAATATCATCATATTCCGAAGATGTTTCAGATGATGAAGCAAATCTCGAAGAAATCTTTCTTCCGAGTTTCTTTTTTTGTTTTGGCTGGGGATTTTTGTGTCTCCTATTATTTTACGACAAAGCGTCGACGAAACTTGTTTCTTGACTCGAGTTTTCTCTTTCTTGGAATTATTTAGAATAAAGCGCCTCAGACGATCCACACTGACTGACTTTATTTTTTCTCTCATCAAGTAGCCAACACAACACAATGATGATTTCTTTATAACAGCTGACTTATTTCCAATAGCTACTCGAACCATGGCTCGATTCTCATTTATACAAGCGTTATCACCCTCGACAAACTTCCACGAAAATTCTTTCATGACTAGTTTTTCTCCCATTCCTGCTGATGAAATATTACACATATCTAAAAACAAACTACTCTCTTGATTATCAAGGTTATTTTTCTCATTTTCTGTCTGTACTGGTAGGGCACTAAAAATGTTTTAAATGATTTCATCCAAGACTGGATCTGAGATTTCATCATTCTCAATGTCACTCACCTTGTCTCCGACAACGGTTTCTGTTTGATGGCCGCTTTTGTTTTTAGTAACAGTGTTTTTTATTATAGGCATCAATATGGTATTCCAACTGTTATCATCAATTTCAATTCCCAAATCGCATATGTTTCTTATTGCATCTCTCAAAGCAGTTAATACTACGTTTTCTATACAAGTATCAAAAAGGTCATGAAATTGTGAGTCTCGTTGTGAGTATAATTCATCAGATAATATTGAGGTAGTTCTTGCTTAACATCTTTAATATCATTTAAGATATTCTTCACTGCCTTAATCATATCTAAGCGCCGCATGATATCTTTAATGCTGTAGTTGGCTACTGTTGCAAACGTTGGAGTCATTGATCTTGTCGCTCGAAAAATTTTCTCGCATGTTTGACTAGAAAATAGTTAAGGAATAAATTACACATGTCTTGTGTTAGAATAGGATTTTCACGAAAATAACAAATAAGGTTAATTAATGCATGAGCAATAATGAGCATTCAGTTCCCAGCAATTATAACAATTTGTTGTTATAAAGTTTTCTCCAAGTTTATAGTTCGGGTGGTTTTCTAGCCACTTTCGTCAAATTCTCATGAAAAAGACAGCATACCAGATATCATATATTCGTGTGTTTATATCAGAACCTGCAACAAATGGAAAACGCTATATGTAATACATCCCCGCTACATCCCTGATAATTCCTATAAATCCGAACTACATCCTGGGTACATCCACGGTAAATCCGGTAAATCCGAAGTAATTCCTATACATCACCATACATCCTAAGATTTTTAAAGATCTCCCTGTACATCCCCAGGAAATCCTCATAAATCCTTGTGTGTGTACACCATAAATCCCCATGTGTTCACCCCTCGTTTTGGTGTAACCATCCCTGTGGGCGGCGAAGATGAACGGAGCATTAGCAAGCTTAGGTTAATTAACCTTGCGTTCAGTATTATGATCTGAGTTCTCCGAGCTTAAATTTTCTGTTCGTTTATTTAAAAAGTTTGCTCGGTGCACGCTCATTCGCGTTCGTTTATTAGAATTTCGAGGGCTCTAATCAATGCGTACATTCAGGCGGTGCCAGCGGCTAAGTTGAGCCACTCAGCAGGGACTTTATTCTCGAAACAGGGGAGCAGCGTTCTCAAGAGAACGAAGGTTTTGTCTTCGTCGTCCGTATTCATATTTCCATAACACTGACAGTGACAGAGCAATCGATCTCATGAGAACCCTGTTCCCCAGCTTCGAAAATAAATTCCCTGTGCTGAGTGGCTGA